ATAACTTGATGATAGTTAAAAGAAGAAATATCATGATCATATTAAAAAACCGGAGAAACGAAAAGACTTGGAGAGAAGATGAGACTAAAGCTCATATCTCACGTTTGCTGCATACGAGGATGAGCGGAGCAAAAAACACGCACAACAGGAGCGTCTGCTTCTTCGGTAGCGAAATTTCACAACTTTAAGTTGTTTTAAGCGGTTAAAATTACTGTGAAAAACATATTCAGCAGCTATATTCATGAAAGAGGCGTTAAACCTAAGAGTCATTATTTCCCTCACTACCCCACCAGTTACGGAAGTATTTCTGCTTTTGAAGTCGGTCGGCGTTTTAGTATTTGACCGGGAACTAAAGAAAAAAAAACTTTTGCAGATGACAAAAATTGGGAACATTTATCTGCTTTGAGAAGGTAAAGTTGATGAATTTGCAAAATTTGTTATGGCAAATTTACTTATGTAGCCCGAACTGTGCGTCTTCTTTTATATAAGTCTTTCAAAGCAACATGCGTTAAGAAGCTTTGCAAGCGATTTATGCTGATCACAGAACGACATTAAAGATGAAAGACATCTTATATTCGTTAAAATCTCGAACTTTTAAACAGGAGAAGATTTTTAAATAAAAAAGGAGAAAAACAAGACATCTGTAAAGTAATTATTTTATAGAATTATGAGTAACGGAATATGAAGGAAAGTTACTAGTGACAACACCTATAACTGCTGAAAACCAGCAATTATTGCTGAATGGTTAGATAGAAAAACCAGTGCCACGAAAAAAATCAAAATAAAAAAAAAAAAATAGAAAATTACTGAGTTAACTATCATTTTTTGTAAAGCACTGAAAATCATCACTCAACAGTCGAGACAAAAAAAGATCTTTACAAGTTTCTCTTAAAGAAAAGCAAGAACTCTTTAGTGTTGCCAAAGTTCATCTTGAAAAAAGTCAAACAGGCACAGGCAAGACCAACGATGAACCTTACTCCCAGCAACTGTCAAAAATGAGGGAACTCAAAGCTCAACACAGAAATATTTCAATTAAAAGACATAGGTCAAATAGTCACAATAAGAAAAAGCTTAGCGTTTACTATACGTCCCCCCCCCTCCAGAAAAAAAAAATTTTTAAAAGCAGAATGAATCATACGCTTCAAAACATTCAATAATATATACAAGTGTCAATAATTTGAAAAAAAATACACGAGTTACAAAAACCCAATTTTAAGAAATCTTACGCTTCTGAAGCAATGTGAGAACATAAGACGAGTAAAGAGAAAAAAAGGGAGACAAATAAGTTTTACAACAAAAAACTTTAGGGACTAGACTGGAACGTTTATCATCAGCAGATACAGTTCGGTCTTTTGGAAATAATTCCTCTTTCTAAGTCAAGTTCTGAGGTGAATTACTTATTCTTGGCTTCAACTGCTCAAATATCTCAGCCATCCGCTGTTTCACTTTAGCGATTAGCGACTCGGGAACGGTGAAAGATGACTTCTCGAATTCCAAGGGGGAGCCACTGTAAAATAAAAAAGCATTTAAAACTGTGAATATTGCAAGAATAAATAAGCAAAACAGCAATTTTGAATTATCAACAAATTTCGTGTTACTCTCTTTTTCTAAACTTACTAGCAATTTTCTTTGAAAGCTATTTCAATAACATCTTCGAGCATCATTAAAAATATTTTTCCTGACTGCCGAGTTGTTAAATGCTTTTCCATTAGCCATGCACGATCGTCTTCATCACACACATACTGAAAATCCAAGCTTTTCACTAAAATAAATTACATAAAGCCAGTGAAAGCAACCCGAGAAACAAACCCTAAATAGTCTCGGATACTTTGCGTACAAATTCCCTCGCGGCGGTGTTGCTAACAAACGGTAAACTTTCGAACCGAGAATAAAACGGGTAGAAGTACTAACACGATCAGGATTCCACTAAAAACACGCAAAAATAAAATTCAACTCTTCAACATCTATAATTAGTTCAATGGCAACGTCACCAAAAACTTCCAAAATGCAGAAGTACAAGTTTTCCATCAAAAAAAGTTTTTTCTTACGCGCCATAGGTAATAGCGTGACATTGGTCACAAATTCTCAAACCTTCTACAAAAAATTGCGAACCTAACTAATGAAAACACAAAGAACAAATAAAACCTTATAAGCTTCTAATGCCGAAATATTTTCGGTAGACCGCATCAACGGTGTACCGCTTCGACCACAGTCGGTTTCTACCTTAAAAAGGCGAATTATTAAACTGCGCTAAAGTTACAAAAATATGTCAGACAAATGAGTAAAAACTTTACTTTTCTAGGGCGACCTCTCTTCCTTGGTCTTATCTGAGTCTGGGCGGAAGAAGGAGGCTGTGAAGTACTAACAACGCTAGCTTCACTATCAATGTCCGAGACTGCTCCATCGCGAGTACTATAATGCGAATAGTTTCACTACTGTAATGCAACTTCTAAAGAAAGAGCCTAGTAAGTTCTTCAAACAAATAGCAAAAAAAAGATTTTTCTTTCCTGTTTTTTCAAGTAATCACTCAGAATTCAAAAGCAGATACTTGAAAAAACTCAAACCTCACGGCTTTTTCAAAACGTCGACCAAAAAGAATGAAGATACCTGATAAGATCAAGGACAAAGTCTGGGATTGAGTTGTCCGACGGCATATAAGGTGCCTTAGCTGCTTCCAAAATATTCCTATATAATTCTTTAACTAAGTCATCGGTTACTGCCTAAAATATTCAAGATTCATTCCGTGAAAGAAAATGTTGCGTTAATTACTGTTTTTTAAAGACATTTTTAAAGTACACTGAAAATAATGGTAATCATACCACCAACGAAGAATTCTTTAAAAGAAAAGTGGAACGTACATGGCCGTTATTTTTAAGATGTTCGAAAGCGGGGGCAAAGCTAACACGAATATGGCGATCAAGGACCTGCTGCAAGTCTCTAGTCAGTTCACTTTGAAATATCTAAAATATGGTTGAGAAAATGAATCACCGTACTGAGGAAATTAAAGTCAGGAGTATAACTTACATTTAGATCAATGCCATGAACTGGTACTACTTTAAAACCTAACTTAGACGTGCATAACGACTACAGACCAAGCAATTATTAGAAAAAAATGCAATGGTAATAAGGTTCACCTGTCTCATAAGATCCAGGGACCTGGCGGCATCAATCGGTAATCCACACCTACTTCTTGTAATAGAATCTTTATACATGTTGACCTTGGAAACATCAGCGGTTTTTTCAGCCTCGTCCAAACAATTTGTCAGAATCCGTAGACGCATGTTCATTTTGTTCCCATTACCAAGGCTCGTATTCGTTCCCTCAAAGGCCGAAGAGCCAGCGAATGAAGTTTGAAACCTGGTTCCAAATCCACGCCTCATATTAATTATTCTATTAGTTTCCTGATACTTCCAGTTACCTACTTTTCTCCATATGCTACTGAAAAAAGATGCGCGACATAAGACAGCTATCGGTAGTACAACATAATCTCTAGTACCTGTTCACTAAAACGCTACAGAGCAAAATTTAAAAATTTTTGCAATGTGAAAAAAAAAAATTTTGCAATTTACATTGCAAAATTTGAAATTTTGTAAAAAATTTCTGAATTATGGGACCACCTCTCCTTGCTCTTCTCCCAAAATTTTTATGGAAGTAAATTCAGGAATTCGAAATTAGTCCTCATTATTAGAACAACTTTATTTCTTTCAAGTAAAAGAAACCGCGGCATTTCTCAATTTTTTCTTAATAAATTTGAGGTCGGGATAGAAGTGCTACAACTGTGCCGGAACACCCCGTATCAAGCGTCTAGCTTTCTTAAAGTAGCAAATATTTTCTTCAAGACTCCAGTCAAAGTGAGATAATGAACATTAAAAAATAAGAATAAAAAATTTTTAGTATTTTTTGACGATTTAAATGACCAATTAAAACAAAGCACCAAAAAAGTATAACGGATCAAGGGTCATTTAAAGACATCGTACTGTTCGTAGGTACGAAAGCTGAATTTTCCTTTAAAGTTCAAAAGTTTCAAAAATCATGCTGTTTACTTTAAGTCCCCGTTTCTCGCAGCACTCTGTTTTTAAAACCCTTCACTGAGCTAGCTTTAGCCATCTCGTTAAAAAGAGCCCATTTCAGATACTCATAAGGTAAGTATGTTTATAGGCCGAAACAACCGCAACTTCACAGAGGCAGTATAACTTGAATAGAACCATATCCCCTCGTAATACAAAAGTAACACACTGTAATTCAATGTGCGTCTTGTCCAGGTGCAAGTGCTCCAGTTCTTGACAACTATAAACAGCTCAATCAGGTTCTCGCAAGTGCTAATCCTGATGACCGATAGCATTTTTCCTTTTTTATTTTAAAATTCTCCACACTTTTACCAAGCATTTTTCAGGAGATAAGATATTTCTTGAAAAATAAAAAAAGATTTTTTTCCTGAGCTTTCTCAGAAGCTTATTTTGTATCTACCCATCGACTATGAAGGCCGCGGAATAAAGATCAAAAAAAATTTGAATGATTCAATTCAAATTTTCATTGTTGACTTCTGTGGACAAATCAGAACGTAATAAAACTTGAAGAAAAAAGAACTTGTTTTTATAATTCACAAAAAGAGCCAGCTTCATAAAAAAATATTTGGAGCAAAACACCAAAAAGTCCATTAGCAAGAACTTAAAACACATTCAACCATTGACAAAAGTACCACAAGCATCCACCATCTATAAAAATGATTTACGACTCTTCTTCTGCTCGCAATTCTCATATCTGTTTTCGTCTGAGATGGGTCTCAGAAGTCTGAGTTTTAAAAAAAACATAATTTGAACAACTACAATCGGTCAAGAATTGGTGTCTAGATGAACAGTTACAAAAACCATAGTAAAAGTTGGTTCACATTTTCTGAAATACCTAGATATGAAGTTTTCGCAACGTAAAACAAAACTTGAAAAAAAAAAAGAAAACGACGAATAAGAGAACAAATAAAATGAATGATAAATGCGGAATGGCAGATTGTATTGCGCCTAATATTAATAATTACTGCGGCAGCTTATCGTTTGAAAAAAAAAAAAAAAAAGACGGGCTGGTGTATTGCTGTCCGTAAATCGTGACGGACTAATATGTATTATGTGTATAAAAATACATGGACAATCAGACCAGTTATTATTGTTGAGGCGAAGAAAATTTCAGCGCAAAATAGGCATCGAAGCGTTGGAAAATAGAAAAAAAAAAAGTACAGGGCGAACGTAGAAACAGAGCCAATATGTCTAGCTGCCCACTGCTGGTTGATGCCGTCGCTGCTGTCCGCAGGCGGACCGCCGGGGCCAGCTGTTTCAGCATACAAATGCTGCCAATGCCCGCTTTCGAATGCAATCGAGGAAGCTTGGCTGCCGGCCAACCTTAGACTGGCAACAACTGCAGCAGCGTTTTATTTAAACTATTATACACTTCTTCTTAAAATATCATGCAAATATCAGGTACGATGACATGCAAATATGAATCAAATAACAATTAAACAGGCATCTGATGAAATGAAGCGCTAAATAACCATGGAGAAGTACAGGAATTAGATAGAGCCTTAAGACGGCAACTGAACTGGTATATCTACTAAGAAAAAACGAAAACTTATTTGGCTGTATTCCATTACGCTTTACTGGGTTTTAGCCAGACTCGCTGCATTTTGAAAGTTCTAATTTTTCAGACCTTGTTTCATTTTTTCTTTTTCTTTTTTTTTTGGTTTTGTAGGTTTTCCCAGTTTTTTTTTTTTCAAATAAAAGTTTTGCTGGCGTCTAAACTTTTTATCGGAAAGCTTAGCTATACTTAAATTAAACGGGTTGAGCGACAGAGTTTTTAGCTGTTAGCTGGCTCGTCGAGAATCTACTCATTTTTTGTATTCCTTTCCTTCTTTTGATTTTTAGAGGTTATGATCATGAGTTTCACAAAAGTTAAAAACTTGTTGCATTTGTTTTTATTTGTTTCTTTTTTTTCTATTTCAAAGAAAAAAATTATCTCGTAATGAATGAAGGGCTTTTCATGATTCCGAGGACACTTCTTTCTTCTTTTGTGTAAAATGTAACAGCGTTCTTTCAAAAACTGGTTCTCAAAAATGTCATCTGTTTGTAGATGTTAGCAATGCTGCCAATTTTTATCTTAGTTTTTGCAAAAAGTCTCGAATTTTTAATTGTGCCCTGCCATTTCAGACTACCGGTTATTTAGCACTATTCGGCATAGATCTTTCCTAACCTTTTTTTTCCAAGTGCAGACATGAAAAGAGGTTATATTGAATAACACGCAACGAATACGAAAATTTGCACAAAAAAAGTGAAATTTTGGCTTGTTTGATAGAACAGCGTATGAGCCACTTTAAAAAATCAAAATATTTTGGAAGCAAGAGGCTTGCACATTCGGAAGAGCTTCCTCACTTTACGAAAACCTCCCACTTTTTGCTTTTCCAATTGGAGGCTTTGCTCGAGACTGCTTGAATTGGATTTCACCAAACTCGTCGGCCTTCTTACGTCTTTAATGGCACCTCTCGCTCAAAAAAAGCTCGAAAATGAGGGGGAGCTTTGTAAAAATCTGAAATAGGAGGAATCCAGAGAGTACTGGCTTTTAAAAAATTTAGTGAAAGTGATACTTTTGCTGTGAAACTTGTTATGCTTGTGGAGCAGTATGTGAGGGAGTGAAAGACATTGATAGTGTTTGAAGTCGTCAAAAATAGGAAAAATTAAATTTGTCTTCTCGCAACTAAATTGGACAAAGTTTTTTTTAGTTCTGAAGAATATAGAATCTTTTTTTTTTACATGGTACAAAGTAGCCGGAATTGCTATGAAACTTGTTTTTATAGGAATCAGGCTCGGTTATAGTGGTTTCCAGCTACACTTCTTAAATGAGCTAGCTTATGATTAAATTTGCCATGAGGTGTAGTAGTTTGAAGAAGCAGGTAACATTTCAAGTTGTTTCCTGATCTACAGTTTCTTTTTTTACTTTCTCATTCTGAAAAGTTTAACATGCGTATTACTCTATCGGATATTGATACCACTGTTTCCTCAAAATATGGCAAAATATGGGAATCTCAGTTGTTTGTATGTTGAGTGATTCTGGTAACGTAGTAGCTCGATTAAGTGTCTATTACTGCTAAAATGGTAACTCACTACTGATCACTGCCGGAGTAACAACTGCTCTGTAGCAATTAGCGATCTTTATGTAAGATGGTAAATACGATTACTGCACTAATTTTTAATTACTGCGAAGTTAATACTGCAGTATGACACAATAGACGTCATTTTTACTACGGCAAGAGATACAATTAAAGTCGGGTTGTTTTTGATACTTATCAAGATTTATTTTTTTGTTCTTTAACGGTATTCTTAGTGAATCTGTTAAGAGGTGACCGAAACAGCATAAAAAGAAAAAAAAAAAAAAAAAAAACGTGTGCATTTTCATTCGTATTTACTTTGAAAATTTTTTGTTCATCAAATATTTTATTCCTCTACAGATTTAGTTTTTGAAAACACGGTTTTTATTGCATTTTTTTCGCTTCTTTCTACTGGTCGTCAATGTATATATTGATTAAAGTTTATTTTGTAGTAGACAAGATGTGACTGTTTTATGGTAGCTTCATTTATTGTTCACCTTACGAAAAATTTTTTTATAGCTATAATTGGCTTTACTTAATTTCAATTTAGCAACCTAGCTTAATTAATTCTTCAAAGAACAGATGCAAAATAAAATGTATGTGACAGTAATGCCTTGGTTAGAAAATGGAATTGGTCATTTAGAAGTGCAGAAACTGAATACATTAAGTTTAAGAAACTATTTTCAAATAATATTTACGTATCGAATGTGTTCATTTTTTACACTTTTAAACAGGGGTATCGCAAAAAAGGCTGTGCCAACGGCAGCTCTTCAACAGCTGGCCCTTTGGCAAAATGTATAATCAGGAGGTAAGCCAAAGCACCCGGGTTTAGTTAGGTGCTCCTTTATTCCAGTAGAAATCTTTCCGGATTTGTCTAGCTGGTGTCATGTTTTTCTTGCTTGGGATTGCTATTATTTTGTCTATTATCAACCTCAAAGCAAGTTTTTTTTTTTGACTTTTTCTTTTTTTGTACTAAAGGCTTTAATCTACTACTCCATTCACCTGTACTTCGATACTTGCATACAGATCTGTTACGCTTGCTTTTAGACGGCATTATTTTGTAATGGATACCGCAGTTTTGTCTAGCTAAATGTTTTAATTTTTGCTTCAGCTGGAGTTTGTCTTGTATAGTTTCGTTCTAAATGCACGAACATTTATTGTTCCATTATTGTTCTGACTTGCCTAAAATTTTTTTTAGATGCTTCTTGGCAATCACTCATCGTAAATCGCAGGTATTTGAGTGAACTGTGACTC